CCTACTGCGCAAATTATATGTAAAACCATGTTTACACATGAAAATATCTTTATGCCCAACAAATCATCATAGACCAATGAAACTATCAGCGGAATCACCCAAGTGACTATGTTGTATATAGAACAGGTAGGTCTACTACATTCAGAACATGGAATACATTTTATAGCATTTTTATGAAAGCAACACCCCTCAGCTTGTATTACAAGCTTCACCAGTATATTCTCCAATCTGCATTTTTATATATAAATATATAAGGGAAAATTCAAATTGAATAATAATTTTTCTATAAGTATAATATACAAATTATAGTACCAACAAAAGAATTAATTTTGACATACAAACCAAAAATGAGTAATCAAGAAACTATTGAAACTATTGAAGCAGTTCAACCACCCTGGCAGGAAATTGAAAAGGCTATAAAAGAAGTTGTTGTAGCAGGATTATATTATAAATAACTTAACTACAATATAAAAAAGAGTTATTGGTTTATTAAACTAAACCAATAATTAACTAAAAAATAGGATTAATTTTAGAAGAATATATGATAAAAATACTAAGAATATTATTAACTTATCAGTATGCTAATACCTTGATTATTTTTTTAAAGAATAATCGGATTCTGATATTTGCTGAATACCCCATTACCCAATTTGACCAGTAAAAAGAGAACCAATAGATTATATATAAACAAAGAAAGATGGGATTCTAAATTAGCACAAAAGAATTTTAAATCATGCACAAACATAACAGCTTGATAGTTTGATTGACACAGTGGGCAATCTTGCAATTTTTTTATTATATATATATTTTAAATACAGATCCAAATAGAAAATTGACAGAATGTATCAAAACCAACAAATTGTTGAAATAAGTTAAAGAAGACAACAAGACAATTGCACTGGGTACATCAAAAATTAATTAGATAGACCCATGTATTTCTGTAGCATGGTGCAAAAAGTATGAAGCACCAATTGCTAAGATTTTTAACAAAAGTCTTCATGAAAAATTCCAATGGGCATTACATCTGTTTTTAGGTATAAATCATGATAATCTCCTAAATTTTTGCAATTAAATGTTTTCCAAATGTTTTGCACTTGCTCATATTCTTTTTGTGATATTTTTCCGCCAATTTTACTATTACATTTGAAATATATAAAAATTGCTATCCTTTGTTTAAAAATTTTTGGTACCCTCTGGAAAAAAGTACAAGGCAGTTTTGTTTTTGTTGTATTTTTTGTTAACTATTCATATGTTATTGTTTTCATTAAATAACTTGATAAAAGGTATTATTTTTTCCCTATATTGCTAACAATGATAAAAAATTGTTTGGATAGCAAATACCTTTATAAATTTTGGTACTCTTATTTTTTTGTTTTATTTTGGATTTGAGATTATTTAAAACATATTTATATAAGAGTTGGCTTTAGGTTAATTTAAGAATCAAGAATTACAATATTGATCTTAATTAAATTGAGTATATTGTGTAGTTATCTGCAAAAAATTTCCACAATTTTTGTGAAACCTCAGGATATCCACAAAATTCTGTCATTTCACAAAAAAATATCCACAAATTAAATATTAAACAATTTTTACTCTCCAAGTAAAAACTTTCATGTATGTTTTGTCCCTACTACACTCAATGTAATGATTGCATAATTTTTGTATGATTTTTGCATAATATTATGGGGTCCACTGTAAGGTTGCTTGTCAAAACTCCTCCAGAAATCAATCAGCAGGGTTTCAGTAGGTTACACAATAATTGTTTATTAGAGTTTCAGCAGAGTTTCACATTTTGAGGTTTTGCCATTTCAGCATAATTTTGACAGGATTTTTGATAAGATTTAATATAGTTTTGCCATGGTTTCAGCAATTACTAAGGAGGTTTCGCCCACAACCTTAGTCCACTGTAAACTTACATAAATAGTGTAATAATTATGTAAATCCATGTCAGAAAAATTTCCTGATGTTGGGACTGAAAAACAGGTGTGATTATAAAAATAGTCATATGATATGGCTATGGAGGATATTTTTTTTATAAGTTTATTAGTACATTGGGTTCAAAATATGATGTGTTTATCATTACATTATACACACAGTCCAAAGTATTTTGACACTGTTATAAAGGGGTGTTACACTTATGTTTCTAATAGTGAGTGCCATAATTAATTTCTACTTTCTACCATCAAAATTGGAATAATTTTGACTAAAGATGGGAGCCACAATTAACCACAATTCAATTTTCATATGCCACAATTAATTGAGGAGTCATCTTTGATTTTGACCATTGAAATCACCAAACCAATTTGGGCTGTATGTATAGTTGGAATCATAAGGGTATTTTTTCCTGTATAATGGCAACAGGTCTTTGTAGATTTGACATTGTAGTAGGATGATGTGAGGATCAACTTGAGAGTATCTTTGGTTTTTTCAAGATCAGTTTTCATCAGGAAATTTTTTCTGACGTGGATTTACATAATTATTACACTATTTAAATAAGTTTACAGCAGGCCCTGTAATATTATGCAAAAAATTATGCAATTGTTACATTGAGTGTAAATGTTACATAATTTTTTATGTAAATGTTACAACTTTACATATTAAAATTTATGGATGTAATATTATGGGGGAATTTCCTGATGTTAGCAACTTGTTTATTGGTCCAACATGAGGCCATTTTTGTAACAAATATTTCAAAATTACTTCCTATCAATTGAATACTCTGCCTTGTAGATGACTTGTTTCTTTAACTTTTCCAATATTCTTTTGAGGTTGTTCATCAATTTCGGCAAAAGGAATATCACCTTTTTATCTGAAATGAAGAGAGGGTAAATTAAGGTTTCTGGTCCAAACTGGTTTGGGCAATTTGGGCTTCTCAGCATTTTTATAAACATGAACATTAAAAAACTATACCAATCAACTTATTTTAACTTAAAGTAATTTTGCCCAATTTCAGCTAATAACAAAAATAGTTTGGGCTTATAAAAAAGTAATTTCAGATTTCAGCAAACATTTCAAATTTCAGCAGACATTTCAGATTTCACAATTCAGGGACCAAATTTCATTTTATGTGATTAGTCGGGGTGATTTACTAATCTCGATTAGGAAAATATTGTAAACAATATAAAATAATCGTGTAACAATTTTAATTCTGAGAATGCCGTGTGTTACGTTACATTCTAATAGTTATTTCCCCAAATTTGTACTATTTTCAACACCGCCCGTGACATAATGTTCACCATTTTAATGTGAAAAAAATAAAAAACTTTAAAGGCTAAATTCGTCATATATTTATATATTTTTAACGAAAAAGGATTAAAAACGTAATTTGGAAATGTCTATTATTTACAGTTTAATAGCTCGTGGACCTATCATTTTGACAGAATTTACAAACTCAAAAGGAAACTTTACTCAAGGTATTTTTAATGTGATTTGTTTGGTTTGATTAAAATACGTAACTATACTTATCTTTTCAATATACTACTTAATAGTTACTCAAGTAATCCTTGAGAAGATTCCTCCAAATGATTCCAAACTTACATATGTTTATGATAGGTAACATTTATATTATATACATATGTACATAATTAATTATTAATAATTAATCAACTTAATAATTTGATCAATTATAATAATCAATTAATTTATTCGATACAAAGATATCTTTTTCATTACATTTCTGAAGAAGGCATTACTTATTTATGTATGGCAGATGACTCTTTTGGACGAAGAGTTCCGTTTGCTTTTCTACAAGATATTAAGGCCAAATTTTTGAACAATTACACAAAAGACAGAGTTCTTTCATCTCCTCCATATGGGTTAAATGAATTTTCCACGATCCTTTCTAAACAAATGGTAATATTTTTAGATGAAAAATTAAAACTAATAAATGTTAAAAATTATTCACGACACATTATATATATTATGCATATACATATATATAATTATAATAATAACAATATTTATTTATTTATTTATTATTTACTTCTAAAGGAATATTTTTCTAACAATCCTGCTGCTGATAAGATTAAACAAGCTCTTGGAAGTATAGAACAAAATAAAGAAGTTCTAGTTCACAATATTGGTAAATGTGAATCGATTTATTATTCATAATTAAATCATTTATTGAATTAATTAAATAAATTATTGAATTCTGATGTTATTAGAACGGGTGTTACAACGCGGTGAAAGAATTGAATTATTGGTAGATAAAACTGATAATCTTAATCAACAAGCCTTTGCCTTTAAAAAACGTAGCACTGCTCTAAAGGTAAAATATTAATTATCATTTTTAAGCTATTTAATTTTAAATTATGCAATTTATAATGACTAATTTGAAATAAATAAATCATTAGCGTTCAATGTGGTGGAAGGATACAAAATTGCTGATTCTCTTGATATTTGTATTCTTTGTAAGTATTAAAAAAAAATATATAATAACTTTATCGACAATTTCCATGTGTATAAATTTTAATAAATAATATTTATTTTTCTCCCAAAGCTGATTTTTTATTTTATTATTGCATTTGCCTGTGGACTAAGTAAGTATTATTTATATTTTTATTATATTTTTATTATTATTGGAATTTATAAGTTTCTAAATCTCTCTCTTTTCTATTGCTAGCACTCCAAAATTGTATTTAAAACTAATAATGATAATAAAAACATGGACGTTATTTTTGATAAAATTAAATTAAATCTGATTCAACTCGAATTTATCTAATTTGATCCGGTTCCTTTTTTCAAATAAAAAATAGAATCCTAATCTTTCATAATTGATCATTTTATTTTTTTAATGATTATAACTATTAGATATTATTATAATTATCGCTATTCTTATTAGGTATTATTATAATTATTTTAATAATTAATTATTATTATTATTATTATTCATATGGTTATACAATTATTCTTATTCTGTAAAATAAATATTTGGAAAAAAAGTTCCGGATAATAAAATTTTGCGGGAATGGTTGTAATATTTAAATTGATATTGTAAAAATAAAATTTTGTCCAACAACCTGAATTGAAATCCCTTTATTGCTTTGGCAATAAAATTTTTGTAACTTCATTCCTGTTATATCTACCTATCCCGTTTTAATTAAATTTCGAATCAGCTGCTTTTTCTAATTTTGATTCTCTGATATTCATCAAATCAAAAAGATTTTTTATTTTTTGAGCTTGTGGTGTAATTGATGTAGATGTTATTGTTATAATGGATTTTGGATTATCATCATCAGTGTTGGCATTTCGTCGTGTAACTAGTACAAATTTAGAAACTATCTCCAAAATTCAAAAATTTGATTGGATAATAATGTTACGTCCGCAGATTTCGCGTAATTTCAACACTGCTGGAAACTTTGAAGTAATTCTAGAAAAAGAAAATTATAGTAATACTATAATTTTTCTTTTTCTAGAATTACTTTATTCAAAGTTTTCGGTATTTAAATTATTAACAATTCTATCAGACTCGAAAAATTCATCATTAAACTTCAAGATGTATGATTTTAAAATTTGAACATTTTTCAATGTGTACAAATTCTTTTGCTTTTATTATCTAATAAAGCTACATTATAATCTGACCTCTCTTTGCAAGATGTGCATCTACAATATCTTCACCATTATCTACTTGTGAAATTGTTTGGCCACGGCCAAATGCCAATACTGATCATCATATCGAAAATATTTTTTCCCGTTTTTTGTTGGAAGAAACTTAGATAGTTCTACTAATATTTATTAAGGTTATTAATATTAATACCATATTAAAAGATTGTTGAAAACAAGGATGATGCAACAAACAATCTTCCACGAACAAACGAACGACGAGTTTTTGAAGCTCTCTCAATTAAAATCATAGGATGGGTGATTTTATCAAATCTGGCACTTAAGCTTGATATGTTAGATTTAAAGCAAAAAAAGTTCTGCAAAATAAGTTTTTCTTTTAACATATTCCACAATATTGAACCCTGAAATCTTTGTGTAATAGTAATTGCCATGTAAAAAAAATTAAGGGTTTATATATTTAAAGAACTATGTACTGTGTGATTCATCCACAACCAATAAATCCATCAAGTTTCTTTATCAATCAGCAATCCACTGCCATTTCCTTGCATCAACACTGTTAACGATGACAGATAACCATTCATTAATTATTTTTGATAATATCAATTTATCATCTCAACCTCAGTCTCAACACCAACACATTGTGTCTTTTTTTAATTGAATAATATATTATTATTATGATCAAACAACCACCTTCATGTTCTACAATGAGAAAAATCATTTAATTTCATTACTGAAATACAGGTGTAATTTTAACATGTAAGTTCTTTGGAGCACTGATCAAGTGTTTGTTAATTGAAAAATATAAATTGAAATTTCAGATATCAATAAATAATAATAATAATAATAATAAAGATAATAAATAATCTATAATTATGAGTATTAGAATGAATACCTGAATAACTTTTATAACTTTTAGACAAGAAATATATAAAAGTCGTTAATTTTTTGGTAAAGTTATATTATACTGTATAATCAATTAACTTGCACAAAATTTAAAATTGAATATCTCGTCCCAATCAATATACTTGCTTCGATAGAAGGTTTCAAATAATAACATTATTACATTCGGTTTTTGAGTCTAGTAATAAATTAAACACAAAGATTTAATGCAATTTAAAGATCAATGAAATAATATAATTACGAAAATTGATAATTTTTATTATTATTATTATTAATCTCACGCCTGTGAAACTACTAAAAAACATTTGGCTAGATTTTTTCAATTTCGCATTTACTTTTAATTTTCTTTTATAGTTAATGGGTAATAATATATCAAGTACAACAACTTCTATAGCAACAGCTGGCATAGACAGTTATGTTAGCGAACTTGGTGACATTCAATATGAAAAAAGGTTAATATTTATTTGTTGATTTGTTAATATATCTTCAAATCAAATATCTAGAAATAACTTTTTCTCCACAGTTTGGGCAGTGCTCGTTTTATGAAAACTATTTGTGGTCGCCACAAAGAAGGTCCCGTTGTAGTCAAGATATTTATTAAACCTGAACCTAGCCTATCTTTGTCAAACGTTGTTAAAACACTTAAAGGTAGGATTTTCTTATAAATGGATGGATGGATAGATAGATGGATAGATGGATAGATAGATATTTATGATTTTATCAATTTAATAATAGAGGAGAGAGAAGCATTATCTGAGATTCCAAATGCATTCCCTTATCAAAGAATAATTGAGACAGAAAAGGCTGGATATCTTATCAGACAACATTTTTTTAATAGTCTCTATGATCGTATTAGGTGCTGAATTTTTTCATTCTTCAATAAATCTATTAAGTTTTTTTGTAAAAAAAACAAGCATTGAGAAATTATTTTTTTAGTACTCGGCCATTTTTGAATTTAATTGAAAAGAAATGGATAACATATCAAATATTATGTGGCATACATGATGCCCATACAAAAGGAGTATGTGTTTTTTCCATACCATCATTTCACTATTATTATTATTATTATTATTATTATTATTATTATTATTGTTATTATTATTATTATTTCTAAAATTGTTTATTTTTAAATTCAAAAGATTTATCATGGTGATATAAAAACAGAAAATATCTTGGTCACATCATGGAATTGGGTTTATTTGGTTGATTTTGCAGGATATAAACCCACATATCTTCCTGAGGTTGAAAATAATTGTCGATTGAATAATCATTAATTATATTTAAGAAAAACTTTAAAATTTATTCAATTTCTTTTTTATAATTAGGACAATCCAGCTGATTTTTCCTTTTTTTTTGATACTTCTTCAAGAAGAACTTGTTATTTGGCTCCAGAAAGATTTTATAAACCCGGCAGTGAAATAGATCGTAAAAAGGTCCCTTGATGTTAAAATTATTTGATTATTTATAAATTTATTTATAAAATTATATTAATTTAAAGTTCATATATACGTAAATGTACTTTATATGCATATTTATATAGAGTGATCTTGAATTTGGAGAAAAAGACGACGCACTTACTCCTGCTATGGATATTTTTTCTTTAGGGTGAAATTTCTATTTATAAATAACATTTAAATATAATTTGTATTTTTCATATTGATTAATATTATTTTTTTCCTTCAATAACAGATGTGTTATAGCGGAGCTCTTTTTGGAGGGTACAACAATTTTTTCACTTTCTCAATTATTTAAATATAGATCTGGTGAATATGATCCAGGAATATACATAGAAAAAATCGAGGATCCAGATATAAAAGTATGTTAGATTCAAAACTAATTTTTTTTAAGGTGATATAAATATAAATATATATAGTTTTTTATATATATTTTATAATATATTATAATATGTATTTAGGTTTATTTAACATTTTTCTAAATAATAATCTTTTTTAGGCAATTATAAAACATATGATTAATGTTGAACCTTCACAAAGATATTCTGCCGAGCAATACCTTCAAGAATGGTAAATGTTTTTTTTTGATAATTTTCTAAGATCAGTCTGCGTCGGGATTAATCTTCGAAATAAACTTCATATAATATTCATTGTTGATCAATTAAAAAAAATATGAATATATTTATATTTATATAAATATTGTATAGGCGTGGCAAAGCATTTCCACAGTATTTTTACACTTTTCTTCATCAATATATTGGTTCCGTCACGGATCTAAATTCACATCCAAGAAATTTTACCAACAACATGAATTCAAATTCAAATTCAAACAATAATAATAATAATAGTCAGTCACAAACTACCAATGGTTCACAAAATAATTATGTTTTTAATACAGATGCAGATGATAAGATTGAGAGAATTTATAACGAATTTGATAAAATTGCATTTTTCTTGGGATTTTATGGTGATAATTCTGAGATTATCCTAAATCATGGTCATGGGGACAAGATTGGTGAAAGCTCTCGTTTAATTGACGGTAAGGATAATTCAATATAAATATTGTTTTCTTTTTTTTTAGGTGGAGAAATAAAAAAAATCCACTTTTATATAATTTAATTTTTATGTTTGTTTTATTTTTTATTTTATTTCAAGCAGCCACATCAAATGCCACGGTATATCTTCCATAATTTTTTTTTATTCCTTTCATTTAAAAGAAATTTATATATATTTAATTGATTTATTTCATTTCCAAATCCTGAATTCATTAGTCAGCTTTACCTATGAATTTACACATACCAAATTATAAACCTAATTCAATATCTAATAAACAAAAAAATAGCAATACTGGTAATTATATATATATATAATTACATTAAATATAAATATTTTTGCATCTTTTTTTATGCTTACATATATTAATTTTAATTTATTTGTCTTTATAGATGGCGGTGCACTTATTTTTATTTCACTGATATGTGCAATGATTCGAAATACGGCATATCCTTCAACAAAGCTTCATGCAATGGATATGTTGTTAGCATTCGGCCAACATTTAGAAGACGAGTTTAAGTTGGATCGTCTGGTTCCTTATCTAATTTCTCTTTTAGGTGATAAAGTTGCTCTTGTTAGAGCTAATGCTGTCAAAACACTATCAAAATTGGTTTGTATATATTAAACTTATGCGTGACACTTCATATTCTAGTAATGTAATATCAAAGAAATTTATATGTTCATGTATATTAAGCTTTTCATGGTTGAGAATATTACTCCTTCGAATGCTACTATTTTCCCAGAATATATTATGCTCAATTTACGAAAATTTCCAACTGATAAAGAAGTACTTGTTAGAATGACTTATGCTCAACATATAGCTTCATTGGCAGAAACTGCTTTAAAGTTTCTTGAATTATCTCAGGTTAGCTATAGAATTTTCAACAATTTATATAATAGACAATTATTAATATGATTTACATTTAATGTATTTTTAATCATAGCTTCTAAAAACCGAAGAAACTTCAAATTCGCTTGATAATGACGCAGATTTTGAAAATTCATATGAGGTATACAATATCATTTTAATTAAATTTATTGAAAGAATTTACGTATTCTAATTATTTAAATGTGTTTTAAGAAGACATCATATGACGCCTCTTTACATGAACTTCAATCAATTATTCAAGAACAAGTCACAACACTTCTTATCGATAATGAGAGTGCTGTTAAACGTGCCTTACTTTCAAATATTACGAGTCTATGTATTTTCTTTGGTCGACAAAAAGCTAACGATGTATTATTGAGTCATATGATCACATATTTAAATGATAGAGATTGGATGTTACGAAGGTGATTATTAATAAGATTTTAAAGTTACAAATTTGCTATTAAAAGTTTAAATAATTTTTTTTAATTATATATTGTAATATCATTTTATTATTAAATAAATAAATAGTGCATTTTTTGAGAGTATTGTAGGTGTTGGAACCTTTATAGGAGGGTGTGGTTTAGAAGAATACATTCTGCCATTAATGATTCAATCATTGTCTGGTAAACTATATTTATATAAAACATATATATATAATTATTTTTTAAATTACGTTATTATATATACACATTAATGATTGTTTATTTGTTATGATAAAATGAAAAACAGACACTGAAGAATTTGTTGTAGAAAAAGTTCTTAATTCACTCACAAGTCTTGCTGAATTAAGATTATTTCAAAAAATGAAATTATGGGATTTGGTAGCAATTGTTGCACCTTTATTATGTCATCCTGGGATTTGGATTAGATATGGTAAAAACAAATTTTTAACATCATCATTCTTTGGTGGGAGCTTTTGATGTTTACTAATTTATTATTATTTAGGTGCTATTGGTTTTATTGCGTCTGTGGCTAAACTTTTACCGCAAACTGATATTTGGTGCATAATATATCCAATAATAAGACAATTTTTACAGGCTGATATTGTTGAAATAACAGAAATGCATTTATTGGAAAATGTTAAAAAACCAGTTAGTATCTACCCATTTGTCCATCAATCCATGTATGTGTTAAATACATACTGACAAATTGATTTTATTTTATATTTATTTTGTCGCTTGTTATTATTAATGTTCTTTATATAGTTATCTCGTGCTGTTTTTGATTCAGCTGTGTCTTGGGTAGGCAAGGCAAACAAATCATCTTTTTGGAGAACAGCTAAAGAGCATAAATCCAATAAAACTGTGACAGCTACTTTATCTAGTAATGCAAGTATTACAAGTTTATTGTCCAGAAGAACTTCTACATTAACGGTGAACGCTGAAAAAGTTACTAAATCCGAAGAGTATTTATTTTATATATTTTTAAAATGCAAATACAATAATAAAAATAGGGGGTTTTTTAAATTATATCATTTTTCATATATATATACTTTTTAAATAATTAATTTTAGAGATGAGATATATTTTGAAAAATTAAGGAATATTGGTATGACTCATGAAGACGAAGAAAAATTAGCATATATGAGAGATTATATTTATAAATTTTCTATACTAAAATCAAAGTAAGAACATTTTTCAGTAAAATAATTTTTTTTCTAAAAAAATAGAAAAACAATTCATTAATCTTATATATCTCACATAATACACATACATTAAGTGCCAGACCAAGATTAGATGAAAATATACATTTGGAGGTAATGTCTTTTTTATTATTTTTAAATTGACTAATTACATAAAGATTATTTTATTTACAAACATATATTTTGAAATTAGGATGGATCAATTGCATCAAAAGATTTGGGAATAAACCCGCAGAATGTATTTATTTCGTTTATAAGCCCTGATGTGAATTCTTCAAATTTTAATTCGGTGAGTTATATATTGTTTTTGAATTTTATTTGGATTTCAATGTATAAGCTCTCGAGTCCTTTTTTTTTTTTTGATAATTGACTGATTTTATATCCGAAATTTTTATAAAAAAAAATTAATATCAGAACATTATTGGTACGCCAAAGTAAGTAATTATTATCGTTATTACTCGTTTTTTTTCCTTCCTATCTTAAACTCACTTTTTTATTTTGTTATATATTTCAGTATTTATCCTAGTTCAAGTGGAAAAAGCAGCAAAGTATCCTTACTACTGGAATCAACGAGTACTCCTAGAACACCCACCACAAATTTATTACCATCTGATCTTACTAATGCTGAATTATCAACAACAACAACGACAAATAAACGAAAAAATCTTGAACAATTTGTTTCTAATACATATGGTATGAAATTATAATTTTTAATAATAATATTTTTTATATTTTTTTTTTTTTGAATGGGTTTGAGGCTTTTATCATTTTTTTACCATCACTAATAATATTATTACTTTTATTTTTAGAGGGCAATGATCGTAATGTTAAAAATTTATTAGATTCATTGTATATTAAATATTTTTCTGAACCTATGCCAGGTATATAATTATATTCAATGAAAAAAAAAGAGCGCAACATAAAAAACATATTAATTTATACTATTATTTTTTTTTTTAATTATAAATAAAAATATTGAATAGAATTTGGTCCTAGTGTCACAAAAGCAATAGTTGGAAAAGGTTCTAAAGGTACAGGTCAAATTAAAACCATAGCAAGTTGGAGACCCGATGGTAATAATAATAATAATAATTATATTTATTATGTCGATATAAAAATATGAGTTTTTTAATGCTTAAAATCGTTTATGTTAATAAATACACAGGTACATTGGTTGCTCATATCACTGAACATAAAGCTTCTATCAATCAAATACGGGTTTCACCTGATCATAATTTTGTTGCGACTTGTTCAGATGACGGAACTGTAAGAATATGGGATTGTGGTAGATTTATAACCTTTAACTGTCGTTCAAGAATCACGCATATACAAAAAGGTAATTATAATTTATTTATTTGATAATATCATTTATAAATTTTTTTTAATATTATCTGATTTCCTTTATATATAAAGGGAAAGTCAAATGTATGACTTTTATTGATCGTACACACAGTATTGCATCAGCATCAGATAATGGTAGTATTCATATATTTCGTGTAGAATGTTTTACTGGCAGCACTCCCTTGAAATATGGTAAAGCACAAATAATAAGCAAAACCCAGTTGAACGGAGAAGTAGGAGAATATGCTGTAGCAATGGAACATTATGAGTCCGGTACCGATTCTATACTGTTATATGCGACTTCTAAAGGTAATATTTGTGGGTTAGATTTGAGAACAATGGAAATTGTTTGGACTTTTACAAATCCTAGAAGTTACGGAGTGATCACGGCAATGGTTTTAGATAAAAAATTCAGATGGCTTCTTACTGGTACTTCACGCGGTATTCTAACACTTTGGGATCTTAGATTTAGAATCCAACTGCGTTCATGGACACATCCTAGTAAAAGTAGAATAAGCAAATTATTAATACATCCACAAGCAATGACTGGTAGAGCGTGGGTAGTTGTCTCAGCAGGTAAAAATGAAATATCAATTTGGGATATAGAGAAAATCGCATGTAAGGAAGCATTTGGTGTAATCACAGATGAAAAAATGGGCGGAGTGACTTTAGATATGTTTAAGGTAATAATTAATTTTTCATTATTAAATATATACAAGTGCGTGCTTATTATGAGATTAATCACACATATATATACATACATATGATTTTTTGTAAACCCTCTTTTTAGGCTCTTGATCCACCTGAATCAAGCGATATATTGAGAAATGCGTTTACAGCCAATGAAAAAAGTATTTCCGTAGATCATTCCGTTAGAGCAGTTCTTTATCCACAAGAATGCAATTTCATTATAACTGCAGGATCGGATCGTAAAATAAGATTTTGGGATAATGCTAATATTAAGGATTCATATATTATTGCCGGTTCTGATATTTCCGAAAGTAAACCAGTGTATAGGTAATTTTACTTGTAAAGTTAATGTCGTATTTAATTTCTAAATAAGATCTTTTATTAATTCATTTTTATATAGTGCAAAACAATTTGACGGAATTAAATTTTATTATGAAACACAAAATTTATTTCGTAATTCTAATTCAACAAGTTCACATTCATCATCATCACATTCCAATAGTAGCAGTTTCTCAAGTGGTCGCAGTAATAATAGTAATCATAACAAAAATTCTAATGCACATAAATATAATTATAATCCAAGCCAATTATCGGCAATTCAACAACAACAAATACTTAAAAATCATTTAGACTGTATAACAGATTTAGCAATTACAGAATTTCCACATCCAATGTTAATAAGTGGTGATAGAGATGGGATTTTAAAAGTATTTTTGTAAAAATGATACAAACAAATGCCACTTATCAACAGCCAGATAGTGAACCATCTGAAATGTAAAACAACATCACAATTATTGAACTTTTTCGCCCACCCAGCTCTCCCAAGTAAGGACACACAGAATTTATTTTTCAAGGTGCAACAAGTTCAATTGCCCCAGTCTATCTCAAATGGACCATTGCGAAGATAATATTGATGATGATATTCTTCCCATCATTATTACGGTGATAAACAATTTAATTTTAATTTTTAAGATTTTTTCATCATTTTTAACAATTATATTTTTTTATTTTTAATACTACTATTATTATCTATTATTTATTATAGAAATGTATTTATAAATTTTTAAAGTAATAAAGTTTATTATTTAATTAACTGGAACATCATCGCATAACAATTAGAAAGTTAGATATGGAGTATACTTGCAACAAAACATTATTATGTCACAGAGAATTACAACGAGTGCACAAAAGGATATGATGAATTTAATTTAGTGCAACGTATTTAACGTTAAAAAGGATATTTCGATCATTTTTCATAGAATTTTGTTTAAAAAAGGAACTTTTCGAAGAAAAGGAAACTTAATATTAAGTGTTACGCGTTAACGCTAATGTTGATATTATGATATTGATGTTAATGCTAACGTTAAATGCTGCCAAAATTTTTTTACATTTATTATTTATAATATTAATATGGGAAAGCTATTTTTGACTTTGACTTTTGGGTATAATTGTCCAGAAATTGCGCCACGTGACTATTTCGTCGACATGTATACTGTTGAATATTATTATAAAATTCGTTAGACAGTTCCTCTTCACCTATGTTTGCTCTTGTAGATTGTTCTTGCGCATAACCTTTTTCAAAATGTTGCAAGATGAATTAACAAAAATTTGTGCAAATCTGATTTACAAAGTTCGATCACCTTATGATCGTATATTCTTAATCTAAAAGTATAAGTATGTAAGATAATTTCAATTAATGCATTGCAAGAAGTTTGCGAATATTATATAAAGCTTTTGAAAAAAAAATACTGGAATTAAAGTTAAATCACCTTAATCTACACTTTTCAGGATGTTGTACCGACTATGGCATCTTTGCTCTTTCTGGAATTCTTTCAACCCTGCTATAAATACTTGATGTTATTTATTCCTTTGAAATGGTGGACATTGTCCAATGTCCAACAGTTGTCACAAGATGTATTTGACCCTAATTTACGAGACCCCTGAATAAGCTAAAACCGCATCCAATATGCACGATATGTACCATATCTTGAAAGATTTACATGGCTTGTCCGCGATGTATTCACGAACAATCTTAGGAGAAGAATGATTTTCGGGATCTTAAAAGATTCGGTCAAAATCGAGGTGTTCGAGACCTATTCACGGGTCCTGCATTTATTTCAACCAATTAAATTAAATTGTTCGCATACATCAAGGTCAATCAACTCACACAATAAATAATAATAATAATAATAACAAATATGAATCGTTTTTTTGGTACATCAAAGAAAACACCCAAGCCAAACTTAAGTGATGCGATAGCATCGGTAGTAATTTTACTCATCGTTACCATTAATTATATACTATATGTTTATTATCATTATAACGTATATTGTATGTTGCATATATAATAAAATAGACAGATTCAAGAGTTGATGCAGTAGAGGTAAAGATAAAAAAATTGGATGCAGAACTTGTCAAATACAAAGATCAAATGAAGAAGATGAAGGATGGGCCTGCAAAAGTATGACAGGAATTAAGATTGACATTTTTTTTCTTTGAATTAATTTTAACGTTTGGGAGAATTAGAAATGCATCAAATTTTATAATATTCCACATAATAATTTATAATCATTTGATTGGTTGATTGATAGAATACGGTCAAGAGCAAAGCGTTAAGAGTTCTTAAACAAAAAAAATTGTATGAATCACAACGAGATCAACTTCAACAACAATCATTTAATATGGAGCAAGCATCATTCACCACAGATAATCTACGTAATGTGATGACCACTGTTGATGCGATGCAAACCGCCAATAAAGAGATGCAAAAGCAATACAAAAAGATTGATATTAATAAAATCGAGGTACCGATTAATTTCACGAGGAGTTGATTGATTGATCGATCGAAAATATTATTATAATTCAATTTACTAATAATGTTCATATCCATAATACTGATAATAATTATAAGAATATTCAAGATGACATGGAAGATCTTTTTGAACAAGCTAATGATATACAAGAAACACTTGGTAGAACGTATGGACTTCCTGAAGATATTGATGAAAATGAATTAGAAGCAGGTTTGGAGATTATCTTGGAAAATATTATTTTGTAGAATTGGGGAGGTTTTTTTTCATAAATTAATCAATCAATTGAATATATTTATTTAGAATTGGATGCATTGGGAGATGAATTAATGTTCGAGGAAGAAGAAGAACCATCATATCTACAAGAAACTCCCACATCAATAGATACATCAAATGCCGAACTTGCTGAATTAGAAGGAATGAATGTATGTATATCGTGTCATACATATTTGTATATTAATATTATACAGCGTGTGCAAGATGCATACATATATGTATGTATGTGATTAATTAATTGATTTGTTTTTTTTTTTTCATAGCTTTCGAATGTGCCTGAAATAGAAACACCAATGAAGAATGTTGCCTAGATGCTTCATTTTGTAAAAATAATAATGATACGTAATATTGAAAATAAACTTTTTCAAATCTATTAATAGGAATTTAATAAAAACCTTATTTATTTAAAATTACATATTATTTAAAATTACATAGTATTTATATTGTTAATATAAACATTACAAAATAAAGTTACTTGTTCAAAAATAATTGTTAACAACATGACAATCTTTTTCTATTCTTTTTAAATTTATATTAGCTTCCATTTCTTGATATAATTGATTCCATAGATCATAAGGTTCTTTGAATATTCCTGGATTTGGTTTGATGAATGGTTTTCGTGAAGTGTAATGTACAACTTTCATATCATTCAATAACATTTTCCATAAATGTGGATACGCATTCATCATTGATATATTAGTATTATATATTTGTGGCAATTGCAAACCTCTAGAATTTGAATGTAAATATCACATGATGATTAGGTAGGTAATATTATACATATATATAAAATATGTATGTAATCTTAATTAATTAATTACCTGAATCTGAAATATTCATTTAGGAATGCTTGCTCAGCAAAATCTATATCATATGTTCCACGTATCTTATGTACTCTCATTATTTCTTTGAAGACCGCTTCATTTGGTTTTATCAACATTAATCCTACCAAATCATAAAAATAATCAATAATCAATAATTAAATTAATTAAATTAACTAATTTCCACAAAAATAGATTAATCCAAATGATTAATCCAAAGCAGAAATTAAATCTCCACTCACCAGCATTAAAATTGACGGTTGTTCTTCCATTCCAGACATCAGGAGCAGCAGCAAATTCGAACCCAGTTTTACCATTAACTAATTCGAATAAATGGTCGATTTTGTTTGTTAAAATCGCATCGCCATCAATGTAAATCAAAGCATCATATTCGGTGAACGACCACATTTGTAGTTTTGTAAACTGATCTACAAAAGTAAAATGAACACCTTCCCATGGTGGAGGAATTCTCTCTACAATTTTTGGTATCCAACCAATTTTCTTCACTTGGCAAATCGTATTTTCTGACAATTTATCAGGGAAAAAAATTAAATACATTTTGTGATTTGGATGATGCTTTTTAATTGTATATCCCAATAATAAAATGCCCGGTAAATAACTATCAGAGTATAACGAGCTAATAAATACATTATTGGGTGTTGATGACGTTGATGTTGGTGTCGGTGTCGGTGTATTAATCGAGTTATTTTGATGATGATTGTTCATAAAATAGCGTTGTTCGCATGTTAATGAATCGTGACATGCAAATGTGCTATTGTAGAGGTCAGAGTTGAAAACAGGAGTTGTAAATTTTTCATAAACCATTATGACTGAAACTCCGAATATAACAAATATTGTTATTAATAAAGCCAATCTTAATAATAATAATATTAATTTATTATTATTATATTTATTAAAATTAAAATTAAATCTTTTATTATTATTATAATAATAAAAATGATTATTATTATTATGATTATATTTTGATGTTATTGATGATGACGACGATGATGTTAATAAGGATGTCAACGAATCTCCTCCGTTAAGTCTATTGTCTTTGCACTCAATGCATTCATTGTTGGCGCTAGTATTATTGCTGTTAGTGGTATTTCCACATCTATTACATAATATGCCATTGATTTCAGAACTATTCATATTTGTCTAAAAATTCAGGTAATAAATAAATAAATAAATAAATTTTTTTTTCAAAAAAAATTTATGGACTTTTTATTCATAATTAACAAGGGGTTTTACAAAAACAGATCAATAAAGAGAGCAATCGAATGTACATCTTACATATAAATTAAGAGACTCATTTGTTAGCTTTGGTTATCGTGAGACAAACATATACAAACATATATGCAATCCATGAATAGGAAATAAATAATGAATGAACAGTATTATTCTATTATTATGAATTAATTGTTTTATTTGATTGGCAAGCCATGTTTGTTGGCTTAGTTTTGGTTGGCTTAATTCATTAATGTTAATTAAAAATTATGCACGTGTACAAATTTTATGAAACATATGAAACAGTGGATAATTTTTTGGTTTGCATTAAAATTTAATTGGCTACTGAAATTACATAAAAGTTGATCGTTTATATCACGAGTCCATTGGGGGTGTCATAAATAATTAATGTAGTAGTAGTATCCGTCGGATATTCGGATATTCGCCGATCATCCTTTTGGTATCCGAATACTCAATCGTCAAATAATTTTGACATCCGAATACTCAATTGTCAAATAACTTTGATACCCGAATATTTGATCTGTTTGCCAGTTTTGATATTCGGATACCCGAATATCCGTCAAATATCCGTCGATATTAATATCTCAATATAATAATAACGAATTTACTATATACGTTTATTTGAATTATTTTTTTGTGGATTGATATTAATTAATTGGTTGTTATTGACATGAAAGTTCTCATCTTGATTTTCCTCTAAATTCAATAATAATAATATTATTATTACTCATTTTTTATTATTAATGCCACCA